ACCTGAACTAGGAATTATTTTCTCTTGTCTTTAATTCACTTAAAATCAAGTATTCCATGTAAAATACCTAAGTGCCTGGACTGAAACGCTTGTACTTCCTCAAGGTGTGAAATGAGAAGGGACAGAGCATGGGGTGGAGAAGTGAAAGATCACTTTTTATGTAGACAATAGCCATTTTTAAACATTGTAACTGGTGAATACTGTGTAGAAAAAGTATAGTTAAGGTGTTTGTTCAGTGAACCCTTTAAAAAGATAACAATCCCTAAAAATAGAGTCTTTAGAGTTAAGGAAAATGTGTGCCATGTTGAAATTTGGTCTTCTGGGATACCATAAAAGCAGTTGAATTAAATATAAACTTTTGAGAAATAGCGTCAAAGGAATTAGTTAAATAGGAAATTTTGAACCAATGATTTTTGTTCCAAGTTGTGTGATATAAATTATATAATCAAATACGATTACCCAGAATATTTGTATTTTTATTTAAAGAGATGTTACATATTCTGTGTGTGTGTTTTTTTAAGCATTTTGAATCCTACTAGTTGGCTGTATCAATCACCGAGAGCTAAATTCTTTTCAATAATCTCTGAAATTTCTTTAAATTATATGTGTAAGACAGCAGAGAAATGGGATCATTTTTACATATGACTGCTTCCAGCAGAAATGCTATCATAAATACTCGGGGAGAGAGAACTTCTGTTATACATAATATTCTTAGAGGTAATAACGTATCAACTTATAGTGTTCAGCTATGTAAAACATGTAAAAAGTATTCATGTTAGCCATCTCTTAAAATTTAACTTGTAAATATTGTTGTATGATTTTCTTTAGTCACAAACATTTGGGATAAGTACAGCCACTTACATTAGGGTAGTCATCACTGCAATTCAGCACATCAACTATCTTTAGACTATGCTATGAGCAAATATTTCTGTAACGCAATTGAACACATTTTTCACACTTTTAAATTTCACATTAGGGGTTCTTCTCTATTTCTCTGGAACCCAGTCTTATAAAAGGAGAGGAAAAGCCATAAGGGAATTTCTTTCATTTAAAGAAAAGTCCAACACTTTCTGGCTAACCAGTTGAATCTATTAAAGAATAAAATGCGTTCTACTATCTCAACCATCCAAAGTTCACAGTATTGAGACTGTTGTTTTGATTACTTTTGAGGTAGTTGAACAAAGTTGGACAGCTAAATTTTTCAGTTCTATGTACCTCCTAAGTGAAAAACAAAAAGTAATTGTAAATTGACTTGTAGTCAAAGCAGAAATCACTGTGCATATTGTTTCTGTAAAAAGATGACATTTTCCAACCAAGAATGTTATCCCATTTTCTGTCAGTGACAGTGATGTATAAAGCAGCAACACTAAAGGGAAAAAGTGATTGTTGTACTTATTGACTTGATTTGCATAGTCTCATTTCAGATAATTCATATAAGGTGCTTTACTTTTTTATATTTGGAAACATTAAATGAAAATGCAAACAAACAAACAAAAAAAAGAATTAAGAGCACAATCAAAAATGTTGCAGCCTAGAAAAAAAGAAAGACCAGTTAGTATGAGCAAGGCCTTGGGCTTGATCTCCAGTACTACTAAAGTTTAGGGAAAGGTTTTTATTCTACATAAAAGAGCTAATGAGTCCTGTACAAAAATGTCTACAGGTCAATTAAACAAAATAACCAATGTAAAAAAGTGGGAAACACCTGAGAAAAAATAAAACTCACAAAAGGAAATCTGGAGGGCCAATGAATATGAAGAGATGTGAAAAATCACTATTTATTAGAGAAATATGAAATACTATTTCTCACTGACTTGCTTTGGGAAAAAAATGAAAAAGCCTAACAAGATCAAAATGAAGAAACCATAACTTTCCTACAATGCTAAAGGAGTTTGGAGACCAAGGTAGCTGTCACTAGAAAAATTTAAATAAACATAATGCAACTCAACGATTTTATTTCTATGTATACAGATGTTAGTGAAGTATTGTTTGAGGTTATAAAAATTTGGAAATAATTATCTACTTTTTGACACAGATCTAGTAAACTCTGTCCAGTCAGTTTGATCTATATATAGCAACATGCTTATGTCTTGTAACTATTATTTTTCCACATATCTGTTCAGAGACATGCATTCTTGTTTTTTATTATCATGAATGGGTAAAAACATAGGATTAACATTGCTTTGGAAAAATGTTTGCTTTAAGACACCAAAAAATAATTTTTCATAGGTGTTCATGATTTTACATTCCCACAAGTGTGAACGTCAAATGCTCTTACCATGCTATAGCTCCTCTCAGAACCAGAATACATGATTGCAGTAAAGGAAGGGGTATAATGGAGGGGAAAATATATTGTTATTATAGGAAGCTAAGTTAGCTAGAAATTAATATACAGTCAGAGAGAGACTAGGCCCTCAAAGAAGTCAGTGAAAAATAAAGATATCAAAATTGTGTCAGGAGGTAGATCTGAAGAAGGCCAGGCCTCAAGATGAAGACACAATTGCTAGGTCTACATGGTAGGTCTTATCCTAAGGCATAAGCAGTAACCTGGAATTATTCTGTAATTAGCACTATCTGTTCCAGTGGATTCAGATAGACATCAGTCTCCCAGCTGGGTGGCCAGAACATCTAGACACATTCCTTCTCAAAAATGCCGTTGTTCTTTTCATGTACCCTTCCTACATGACTTGTTTCCCTATTGGCTCAATATTAGCTAAGCAGTTTTCCTTGTAATCTTATCAATTGATTATAATTTGACCAACATTGTACCCACATTGTGACTTTGCTGTATAAATTACCCCTGACAATGGGCCTGGGTGGAAACCTACTTGGAACTCTGCCTGTCTCTCAGGAGCTATCTCTCAATAAGCCTTTCCTACTCTTAACCTCCCTTGTTCCTTGGAATTTTATCTTCAATTTCAGGGGACACAAGCTCAGCACATCTGACATCTAGCAGGTTGGGAGTTATATTTCTCCTGTATCAATGCCAAGAACAGATAACTATTTCTTCTGGTAACTTATGGTGTTCAAGGGGACGTGTTTTCACCAAGTGTTACAGAATCAATAAATCCATAAGCCTGAAGCTGAGATTACCATCTGGAAATTGCCGTCTCCTTACATCCTTGAACAGTCATGCACAGAAGCATTATGATGTCAGCAGTGTAATCTATCTTCACTTTCTCATGGAAAGGATGCTGTGCCACACCATGGAGACTTAGAAGAGTAGTGCTGCAGGATGGGTTCTCAAGTAGCAGACTGTAAGTGTTCAGCACTCCAGTTGCATATTTTTTTAAGTGACTTTAGGATCCACATCTGAGAAAGGGAGGGGAAGGTGGCAGGTTTGAGCAAAGGGAAAAGTTTAACTGGTTCAGGCTCAAAAGACGGTTCCAGCCAATACTGCAGGGAGCCCTAGAGTGGAAATGGCTGTTCAGAGTTGTTCCAAGTTGAGCAGAAATGGCCCAACTTTTATGGCCCAGTGTAGAGCAGTCACTGGACATGGCCCAAACTGGGAAGAAGCATGGCTTCACCTAACAGGTGAAGGCTGTTCTCTTCCTGCATGCCAGAGACAGTAAGACTTTAACTAATGGGTAAAAGATCTCAAGGTTTCAATTACACAACCAGTTTATTCCTTGCTCACTCAAGATCTGTTATGGGTCCAGCAGCCTCTAGGCTAATCTCTCCCAAGTGAATTCAGTATGCTTCTATCTTGTGGTCCCACCATTTCCATATTAACTTAATCCCTGTCAGTGGGGCATCTCACTCCCATCCTTCTTCTCTTCCTACAGTCCCTGAGCTCAGTCTCACAACTTTTTTCTAGGAAATAAGCTTCCATCTACACTAGGAAAGTCAGGGGTGCCTAGCTAGCTGCATAGCATAACAATGAAGAGGATATTGCTACTTCTTATTCAGAAATTTAAAGAGGCACTCACATATATACCTATATGTATATGTTACTTCACTCCTGCTTTCAGTTTTGCCTGGTGCTTCAAATTTCAGAGCCTCATTGAAATTCTGTTGGTAGGAGAAAGGTAGGGTGGTTTGTAGAAAGGTACCTTGCTTTTCAGAAATGTCTTTCTGTGTACAAACTATCATTTCTCAAAATACATTCTTAATTTTCCCAGTGTGTTTTTCAACATTAAATGTTTTGTCTAAATAACTGTCAGTCTTATTTGTTTTATGTAGATGGTCCAGGCATTTCTCGTGTCCCCATTTTTCATACAATTAAGCAAATATTTAAATATGCATATCACATGATGCCTGCTACTGTTCTGCAATTCCCATGCCTTGGCCTTTTGAGGTGATGGCAATTCAAGTAGTTGAGATACCAGGTCCACATTCTCTCTCTTTCTCCCTACCTCCTCTCTATGCCCCAGACACAAACAAGCTCACTTGCTGTTTGGAAAATCAGAATCACCAAGCCCCATGTTAGTTCTGTTAGGTCCTTGCAAGTGGAAAACACTGCTTTGGACCTTCCGTTTTTCAACTGGTGCGCAAAAAGATCCTGCTCTGTGAAACCTTTCCTGAGCAGACACCCAGGCCAGCACCTTCCCATTTTGCTCCATTGTCCAATCTTACTTCAGTTCTTTCACAGTGCATATTGCAAATTGTAATTGTTCATTAATTTGTAGGCATGTGGACTGGGCTGAATGAATGAATGTAAAAATGAACCTATGGATTTCAAGTCAATTAAGACTTGAAGAGAAAATATTCAAGTGATGACACTTCTTTTCTATACTTACTTTTTCCTCCCAGCAACTTAATTCCTACTGCCCAGCCAGGTGAATCCTCCATGTCACTCTCAAAGCAAAGCTACAAAAATTGAATACCCCAAGCCAGTGATATAGCCAGAACCCAATCTGCATTCTCAGACTTATTTACTCGTGCAAACAATGTAACCAGCACATGTGTTTTTGAAACAATTAAGAAAATGTATAAAAGAATAACCTCTGTCCCCGCCTGTTTGAAACTGTAATATTATAAATAAAGTCAAAATTTAACATTTAAATTTATTTATGAATACTTGGTAACAACACATTTTAAATATATCAATAACTTACAAAGGTCAAACCTTTCTGTGACTCTATTAAACTAATTGGTCAAAAGTGCCTCAGTTTGCAAGAAAAATAGGTAAGGGTGAGGGAGAAAATGTAAGGAAAGTAAAGGAGAACTAAAGCCCTGGAAGTACAGCACCCTCGACAGTTGGTCCAGTGAATGGGAGACCAGCAAAGTTCAGGTTCCCAGCAATCTTAGTGGAACCTAGTTCTGAGACATAGTGTCCAGTGGATGAACCCTCAGCTGAGATGCATAAGTTACCAGAGCTGAAAAATATCCCAAGGTCTCGGAAGAAGGACAAATATGGCAAATTTAGTAATTGCCACAGGCTGGGCAGCATCTGGAGGTATCACCGGAGCATTTGCTTATGCATGGATCAGTGTCCTGCAAAGTGGTTCAAAGTTCAGTGAGTTACCTATGACAGGCCTCAGCAAGCGTCCAGAGAGCAGAGTAGTGGGCTATGAAGGCAGCCCCTCAGTTTAGCGGTCAGAGGTCAAGGTACATTCTGAAGCTGTAGCAAGATATTGTAGTCCAGGGCTCTTAGGTACAGGGTTGACCATCAAAGCTCCGTGCGCAGGTTGCAACTGAAGCTCTGAATCCAGAGCGGTGTGTTCCTTGACCACTGACCTGCGCCTCTTGGCTAGGGCCTGGTGGATCGGCTCCTGAACGCTTAGTCGCCGGGGAGGACGGCCACGGCGAAGTCTGCCAGGTGACAGGTGGGTATCCGGAGCAGACAGACACTGGGAGGGTGGTGGGGCTCTGTTGAGCTCTTGGGAGCTTTGCGCTGTGGCCCTGGACCTGGCAGCAGTGTCTCTGGCAGGTGGTCGCCCAGATCCACGAGGACGCCCACACCGACGCACATTCCTGCGGCAACAGATCTCACTGCGGGAGGCCACGTGCAGAGGGGGTTGCAGGGCCTGGCGAAGCCTGAAGTGCCTCAGGCCCAGTGAAGCTCTCCTGGCTGCACGGACATCCTTCCAAGGGATCAGCTCCTGCTTCTGGGGAGCTATGAGCTCCCTGTGGTCCACTACTGCCCGGTCTTGACCCCGTTTCCAAAGCTCATACCTCTCAGGTTGCAGGATGCGCACAAAAGCATCCATGGAAAAGCTGACCCTCGCCTCCCCACAGCTGCACTGAGATGCCACTTTTCCATAATCGATCCACCTCGGGGTGGCAAAATTGATGGCCTCTGCACAGTTGTAGCCATGGTTGAAGCCAGCGTGGTAGCCATAGGGAAACGTCACCATGAACTCCCCAGCCTCCTGAGTCACACAGCTGAAGGGGATCCCATTGTCCTTGAGCACTGTGGGTGAGATGAGAGCCACCTTGTGCCTCAGGAAAGCCCCACAGCTCCGGGAGCTGCCTGGGAAAAGCTCCCTGGCCAGGAGCTCCAGGCGCTGGCCATGCTCTGGGGGCACCGCATACCAAGTTTTGGGCTCCCCAAAGTGCAGGTAGTTGATGCTGTAGAGGTCCATGTCCTCCGTGTGCCACGCAAACGTGGTCTTCCACATACCAAAGTACAGGTAGGGTGTGTTGACTCCCTCGATGACAACTCCACATTCCTGCTCCAACAGATCCTGAATGGTTCCCAGGCACCCGAGGTTCCACTGCTTTGTGTTTTCATCAAACAAGGAACCGCTGATGTCAGCACCATAAATTGGGGAATCATAGAGGCGATTCTTCCAGTATTTTCTCTCCAAATCTTCAAAATTCCGGTGTGGAGGAGTCTGATACTTTTTACTATTTGCCAGGTGGTGGTACTCGCCCACTGTCATGGCTTTCTTCCTTTTATGGTATTGCGTAAACACACCCGCCTGCCCAGAGACCACCTGCTGCAGAGGAGTGGCTATTATGAGGTCACTGATGTTGTCATAGGACTCTCTGGCTCTCCACCCCTTGGGAGGAATGACCTTGGCTAGGCCAGCTCTGTGTGCACCCTGGGATTCCATGTAAGTAATGTATTTATCAAAATCATTAAACTCTTCTTTGGTTGGATGAAATATCATTATGCTACAGCTTGGATTCTCAGCACATCTGTTCTTAGACTTCATAGTTTCGATTTAATAGAAAGCAACCTCCCGGTGTTTAGATATGTTCTAGATAGTTCTAGAGGATGCAGGAAAATTCTACTTCTTAATTTTAGTTTCTATAGGTATGAGGCAACAGGATCTACCAGTCAACTTTTTGCAAATGAATAATAATCTTTCTTAGGCTTCTTGATTGATGAGTATTGTCCAGGCACCAGCTTTGCCCTGACACTGATGGTCACTCAGTTGGTACCTGGTTCTGTCCTCTTGAGTTCTACTGAATTACCCAGACCTGGGTGGATGACTCAAATATACAAGGTATGTTTTCATGGAAGTATCTAAAACAAAATCTGAAAGATATAAAGATTGAAAAATTAACGTTTGGAAAAAGTTATTGAGAAACTACAAATTAAACACCACAATGAGATACTCTCATTTATTTTTTTTTTTTAGATACTCTCATTTAAAAGAAAGGATAAATTTTACATGATTATCAATTCAAGAGATGATGTCGATGTGGATCAAAACACTAGGAATTCTCATACCTTACTACAAGGAATACAAAGCACTATAAATCACTCTGGAAACTATTTTTTTTTCTCTCATTGAGTTTATTGGTACATTTTAGGTATTCGGTACAGTTACATTCATCATTGGGATCTTGTTCCTTTGCATGACATGTCTTGATTCTCATTTTTTCCCCCTTGGGAACTATTATTTGGATAGTATCTTCTAAACTTGAACATATACATGTGCTATGATTCAACTCTTCTATATGCCCAGGAAATGTATAAGGTTATGGACTGAAAGTCACATCTAAAAATGCTTCTAACAACATTATTTCTATTAACCAAATACTGTAAAAAACCCAAGTGCCCGTCAACATTACAAATGACAAGTACATTATAGTACTTTATATTCATACAATGGAATACTATATATCAATGAAGATAAACAAGATATATAAAAATACAGGTATAGATTTTATAAAGATTATACTGAACAAAATTGTTAAAATTCAAGAGAATACGTATTACCTGATTCCACTTATATGAAAATCAAAAGGTGACAAAGTAATCTATGTTCAGAGTCAAAGTACTGGTTACCTTTGGGGAAAGACAGGTTGTGAGCAGGGACCTAACGTAATGATGATCTGCTCTTAACCTGGGTGCTGGTTATATGCCCATCAGAATAGCTCCTGGTGATAACATCAAACTATGGTTATTTTCACAGGCTTCTGTATGTCAGTTTAAAATATAATTTGGACAAAAACCATGAAAGACAACTAACAGAAATATTTTATTATATTAAAAAAGAAGAGTGAAAATAAGCGAACAAAATATTCATTTGAAAAAGCTAGAAAATAGAATTTGAAGGGAGGGAGGGGTAGTGAATAAATAACAAAGAATCCGGATCATGCATTTCCTTAACTGATATTGCACTCCCTATGGCTTGCATAAACTGGGAGCATCCCTAAACAGACACATCCACTATGATAGTGTTTTTTCCTCATTGAGAAGGGCAATCCAAAAGATATGAAACAAGCAAACAGTGTTTAGTCAGGGTTAGAATTTTTTCCAGGCAAGTATGATGATACAGAAAGGGAACATTGGGTGTTATTGGATTTATGGAAAATCAACAGAATGATCATAATAATGGTTATTAAATCTATCCTGGTCCAGGGATTTAGCTCAGCGGTTCCGCCGCCTGCCTTGCAAGTGCAAGGACCCGAGTTTGATCTCTGGTACCAAAAAAATATAAATAAATAAATAAATAAGTGAATAAATAAGTAAAATAAATCTATCCTAGATAAAAAAAATGATAACATGAAGGTAGTGAAGGAGAGTAAAACAATACATGATTTTGTGTGTTGACACACTAGGTCAAAGGTAAGTTACAAAGAGAACAGGATACTTTGAACAAATTTTTAAACTAAGGAATTCGTTCATTGAATCGCTTTTTAAAATTGGTATCTCAAAACCTTCGTGAATTTTGACTTTATGGTACTGAACTTTACACTGATTCCCTGTCCCCACATTCTCTCTACCAAAGTATTCCTTCTTTCTCAGTTCTTGAAGTTCTTCCCTTTTCTAAATAAATGAACTTGGCCTTTATCTTTATCACTTCATCAAAACACCTTATCTTTTTCATCTCCTATAGTTCTCTTTTGGCACTTCTACCTTATATACAATAATAACCACCTTTTTTAGCCCTTGATTTTGTCATGTCTTTTTGTTGTTGTTTTTGTTACTGGGGATGTAACTTAGAACCTCAGGCTTGAGGCAAGCGGTGGCGCCACTGAGCTAAATCTCCCACCCTGTCACGTCTTTTATTAGGTACTTTCTATATAGTACTCCTATTCAAACTTCACAAGTATTCCTCGAAGTTGGTACTGTCAGTGTCCCATTTTACTGAGGACGAAATCAAGGTGCAGAGAAATTTATATTTAACTCAACAGTTTGTGCTCTCAATCTCGAGTTATGCTGTACCTATTTTTTCTTCCATATGGAAGTATTTTGAGGGTATGATCTGCCTTGCACATCGGTGTGTTTTCCAAAGGATCTTAGTACCTTTTATAATGTAGGCATTCAGAAAATCTTGTAGTAGAGAAATGATTAGTGAAGCTATCTGGAACATACTTCTCTCCTTAGCCTCACCCCATCTTTCTTCCTGCTTTCCTCAAAGGAGAGGAGACATATATTTCTTTCCAGGGCTGGTATCTCCCATTGAAGTACTTAAATCAGCACTTTCCACAAACCGTAAGACTATGGTCAATTAAGTGATGACTATGATTTTTCTCTCCGTTAAATCATCAGTAATCACTCTTCTTCCTGACTTAAGCTTCTGTCCTTTTTCAACTTTCACCTTCTTTTCTGTACCGAACGTGTTAAAAACATAAATCTTTACATGTATGAACCCATTTCCTTATTTCTCTCTCCCTCTCTTTCTCCCTCTGATTCTGCCCCATCTTACTACTCAACTTGTTCTCAGTAGATCATCACATTGCCACCCAAATGCTGTGCCAGGAGTTACCATGTGCCTTTCCACATCACTGGTTCATGGGACAGCTCCCCTTTCTGGCCTCTAGGGCACTAATATCTCTTCCCTTTCTCTTTATTTCCACCTCCTCTTCCTATCACATAAATGCAGATTTATCCAAAGCTCAATTCCCATCCTTTTTCATTTTCTTTCTTTTCCACTAAGTATCCTATTTATGTTCGTGGCTTTTCTTACTATTGCATTATTTATTACAGAGCTTTCTCTAATGCTGAAGATCTCCTGTACTTCTGCTTTGTTTCTGCATCTTGGATGGTCCACTGGGCCCTGAAAGTTAGCCTGCTAAGTACAAATTGGTTATTTTTTTCCATAAGTTAATATTTTGTCTATGTCTTTCTTTATGCCAATGATAATACAGTTATCCTAGTCACCACTGACATCTCCCTCCCTCCAGATATAGTCTGTGACACAGGATCCCATGATAGTCTAAATTTTTGTAATATCTATTCACATGTTTCATTCTCTTTCCTCTGAGAATTTGCTCTAAAAACCAAAAAAGGAAATTTCGGAGTATTAAATATCAGAAACTTAAATACCATATTGAGTGTCTTTCCTCCAAGAAATAATAAAATACTATTAATATCACACAAGTCCTTTTCATATTGAATATACAATTAAAACAATCTTTGAGGCCAGGGGTATAGCTCAGTGGTTCCACTGCCTAACTCGAAAGCAGAAGGTCCCCAGTTCAATTCCTGGTACCAAAAAAAAAAAAGAGTAAAATAATCCTTGAGTTCAGCATTTTCTTTTTTTTGTTTGTTTGTTTGTTTTGTTTTTTGAGACAGGGTCTCACTATGTAGTTGAGACTGACCTGGAACTCACTATGTAGCCCAGGCTGGTCTTGAACTCACAGCGATCCTCCTGCCTCAGCCTCCTGAGTGCTGGGATTACAGGTGTGCGCCACCACACCCGGCCAGTTTAGCATTTTCTATTTATTTATAAACTACATTTTTCCTTTTTATATATGTAAGAATTTCAAGAATGAAGCAACATCCCCTTATTTAGTCTTCAGATGTTGCTATCTAAAGAAAATAATCTGGTAACTCTGCTCACTGCAAAACCGCTCAAAATCTCCCTAGTACAGTAAGAGTGTTAAGCCTTCAGTATTCCAGCCAAATGTGTCATTTCTCTCTGTAGTTTAAAATGGTTATTGTGAGACTGTCTTCTTTCATCCATCAAGTGGAACCACAAGCTACCAGTAGAGAATAATCACTCTGTCACTTCAGATAGTCATCCTTTTTATCCCTATCTATAGTGACCGTGGTAACGTGGAATTCTTCATCTAAGGAAACTTGACAGTCTGACAATTGAAGAAGGTATTTTCTTCCTATCAGAATGATTAAAAAACTTGAAGGATTTTCTGGACCAAGAGTACTGTATTTCTTCTACATCTTAAAAAAAATTGCCTCCTAAACTTCCCTGCTCTTTGTGTGTCCATGTGAGTGTGTGTGTATATGTGTGTGTGTGTGTGTGTGTGTGTGTGTGTGTGTGTGTGTATTTTAAGCTGGGAAGAATGAGAAATGAAGTTGGGTAAGCTTAATAGCCCCTTCACTGCAGATAATACCTAAAAGGCAGCAGTAGAGGAAAGCCCCTTTGTCTTTCAAGTTACATATACAGCATATACCAAATCTATTACTTCAAATAGGGAATTGTTGGCAAAATGCCTTAAATACTAGTCATTGTTTTTTCTGACAGTCAACATCTAAATGCTGTATTGAAATTTTTTCTTTAGAAAATTTAGTAAGTCTTAGCTGGCTGTGGTGGTACACCTGTAATCCCGCTACTCTGGGAGCTTGAAGAAAGATCTCAAATTTGCACCCAGCCTGAACAACTTAGTGACTTAATGAGACCCTGTCTCAAAAATTTTTTTAAAGGGCTGAGGATGTAGCTCAGTGCAAAGGTCCTGGGTTTAATCCTCAGTACTGAAAAAAATAAGTGTATTTATCACTCACTGAAAGTAATTTATAACCATAATATTTGACAGCTGAAAAATACTATTTTATGGAGACAAGTGATTCCCTCATTAGACAGTTATTTTGTTTTTACTTTTTCACAATTACTACCAATCACTTACACTTAAATATTTATCCTGTGTTTCAGTACCTAAAATAGTATATCTAGTAAAATACTGATTGAATGAAATTACTTACAGTACCTAATTTATAAAGTTGCTTTACTGTGTGATTAAATATTTTAAGATCTTTTAATACACAGATGAAAACTTTCCTGCAAACTTGAGCAAACTTTTTTTTTGTTTGGAATACTTTGGATTAAATTCAGGGCCCTCACACTG